TTGTCCGAAGTTCTCTAACCTAACTGTTATGATAATTCCCAGCGTTGGACCGTCAAACTGGTACATTCGCAAATGTGAATTCCTCAAGTCCACGGACGAACGCTGATAAATTATTGTGACTTATACTGCATGGCAACAACAACATCTTGGTCTTCATTGCAACCAGTAACTTAATCACGCTAGACGACGTAGGGTGATTTAGTGACTCATAGCTGAGTTGCCAAGCACAATCGGTCTCGGGTTGTCATGGCATTTCATCTTTCCTTACCTTCAAAAAGGTTAGCTCATCCGAGTCGGACTGGACTGCAATTGTAACTCTGTCCAGACCTCATCAAAACCACTAAATGCAGCCGAGCACTGATGAGCACTTTTTGAGAAGCAATACAAGTTATGATTCAATGCTACCTAAAATCGGGAATATGTGCCTTTTGGAAAATTAAAAATATCGGTCCTTAAATCATCATGTGGAATTTGGGACTATTACTTCTTGTATTTAACAATTATAGACAATCTCGAAGCCGATTTACATCAAAAATTGTACCTTTTATCCTAAAAGGGTTGAACTAAAGGCCAACCAGTCATACAAATAGAATGGAGCTGCCTAGAGATAACGTTATTGTCATCCCTGCAGAGGAATCAAGATAAAAGGTATGTATCGAAATTGTAGGAAATAAGTTGTAATTAAAAATAATGAGAACAAGTTTATGTGAAATTGAATGTAAACATCAGCACTACTCATAGTCACCTTAAACGAAATTGGATGAATTGACTGGTAGTCTCGAAACTTCACTTGAAATACAAAAAATAAAAATAATTAATTTTCGCGGTGGATCAAAATAGATTTTATGCTAAAAATATATTTCAAGCTTTACACGACTCCCACACAAATTGGCGATTACCAGTTGGCAGAATGTAAGGCCTTAGAGCAGAGCTTAAAGCATCCTCAAAGTACATACCGGGAATGGTGGAATGGAAAAACCGCTTCAACATGATGCTGAATCAGGCGACGCATCTGCTCCTCGTGAACTCCAAGAATAGACTGATCCTGATTGATCATACGATGGTAATGAAGAGGACGCATAGAGTGTTCCCGGTTCTTATGTGGACTGTAAGACATGATGTCTGGAAATTAAAACTAAACTTTTAATTTCCAGAAGTGCTACAAAAGTGAAGACTAAAAACAATCGACAAAATCTGCATATGTGTTGACTAATTCGAAGAATTAGTAATACGATGAGTAAGCTCAGCGAAATAATTGTGTTGGCCGATACTCCTTCATTTGCAAAAAACTGGTGGAGAATTTGCAAGAAACTTTGCCTCAAAAATATTAAGCCCGAAGAGTGATTAGAGCACATTTCTGAAGAAGGTAAAGTTCATTAGTTGAACTTCAAGCAACAAAAGTGTGAAAATATATACCAAGAAAAGATGGGTTTTGAGAAGCCTATTGGCTTTTAATTGTTGATTTCACTTCAATTTCGAGTGAAAATGTTTGGTGAAAAGATTCGAAAGTTGGCCCAACCAGAAGACGACGGCAGATTCGTCTTTACTGAAACATTTTCCGTTTCCAAGTCTGGCATGTAACTGGAATTAACTCAATTTGGTAAACATCATCAAAAATTGTAGACGCACGGCGCTTAGAGATGAGCCGAACAGTTTTATTAACTTGTTACCTTGAACATGATCTCCCGCCATGATCCGTTCATTGTCTCGTGGATCCGTTGCTTCTCATTCCGGTTGACCGATTTCATTCGGTTCCAGTCCCAGTCGGCATGTGAATCAGAGCAGTGCACATGCTTCTAGGTCCTTGTATGAAATGCCCACTGGGACTCGAACCGAGTGGAATCGGTCAACCGGAAAGAGAAGGAACCGATCTACGAGACGATGAGGAGATCAGCCTTGGAGGCCACAGTCGGATGAGCCGATCGAAAGAGTGTGGGTCGTGGTGAATGGCCAGTGTGATGAGGACACACATTTTGACGTGTGGAATGGGAACAAGTGAGAAGGTGTGATTGGGCGGGAGGTGAACAAGACAGTCAAGAATGTATAGCTAGACCGGGACAGAAAGAGCAGTGAAAGTGTAACCGTTTGCGGCAGAACGTTTGTTGAGGAGAATGGCAAAACTGACTGATGCTGCCGGCGAAATGTCTGAGAAGGTACCAAGTCCACTTTTTTGATGCTGGAAATGATAACAACTAATATGCTGGACGAATTCGGACTAGGTGCGTTCTACTAAGTCGCCATGACAACAAGACCAAGTTGCGACAATGAGGTCAACCCACTTTTAAAAAGGCTACCAATTGTCTTCTTTAGTCATGTACATAAATTGTAACTATGCCATTAAGGATAGGTAGCTGGCGTAGTAGACCGATAAAACTAATGATTAAAGTGACATTATTTTGAAATATAAAAGCTTGTGTTACGCAGTCTACAGAGGGTTGTTTCGGTGTGATGCGATCTCGTGGGCAAAAGATGAAGTCTGGATGCGTTTAGAAGAGACAAAGAAGATGACCTCCAGAGGAATAGCATTCTAACAGAGTGTAGCAAGCAAGCATTTCTCATCATCAAGTATCAGCCAAAGCCAAATTTAAATATCTTTCAATGCCAACTTTCAATCAACACAGAAATGATGGAACACACAAGATGTAACTGAATAGGCATAGTATGGAAATTATGCTTACTCAACGCTAGTCTACTCAATTTTTCTTCAAAGTGAAGTGAACGGTTATGTCGGAATACTTGTCATGGAAATATTATGTCAATATTAACACGTGTCAAGGCAAAGCATAGCAACCTGAAATAAAGAGACAAGCAGTCAGGGTTAGATAACATGAAAATAAATGGGCCATAGAAATAGTATTTGTAGATGTGAAGAGAAAATGGGTTTTAATGAAAGTCAAACTGAACCAGATGAATGGATCCTGTCTAGAACAATAGAGAATGATAATTGTTTAAAAAATTAATTTTTTGGATTCGTATCTTTTATTGAAGCCAACTGGCAGCAGAGCAACAGGAATCGGTCTTCATCTTGCTGTGCGATCAGCAGTCGAATCTCGTCATTTGGTACCTTATTTTCTTGTCCACTTTGGCCTACTGAGACATGCCGGCCTATTCGACACAGATTACTCACTTTTTCTCGTTTGGTATTAATTTTGCCTCCTTGAGGTTTTATGCCATAGGTCATCATAATTGCCAGTTCGGGTTAGGTTGGAAACTCGTTCTATTCCAGCTGGGACAAC